CAAGTCCTAAGTGGAGCCATAAGCCCCATCCTAAATCTAAATCACCATAGCAACTCCTAAGCGAAGCAATAAGCTCCATCCCAAATCAAGTAATCAGATAACTCTTAAGCGGAGCCATAAGTCTCATACTAAACTAAATAATCAAACTCCTCCTCGGCATAGCCATAGGTTTCATCCTAAACAAAATTACCATGCAATTCCTGAGAGGGGAAATAAGCCCCAAACTAAACAAATCATTCTAACAGATATAAGCCCCTAAACTTAAATTACAACAAAACTAAAACCAACATCCAACCACCTCAATTTACTTGGGCTCTCTTAGAGAAGACAACATATAACTATTAATCAGATTCTTTGGACGCTGCAACCAATTGTTTGTTAATATTGGTAGATTGAGATCTGTGATATTTTGCAGGATGACAAGACCATAGGATCTTGATTGAGTCTACCCACATTCCCCTATAAACAGGAATAAAACATAAAATTTCAAACTTATGCTAAAATGATTCATCCTTAATCGAGAATTCTCTCCTACGAAGAATGAGGGATAATCAACTATAAGAGCTTACGCTCATAGGAGGTAACGACTCAAATCTAAATAAACCTTGATATGAACATCGAGGGAAATCTGGTTAATTAAAAATCAATTTACCTTAAGGAAAATGGAACGCTAAGCCTGAAAAGTAGGGTTTGTGCTGTGGGCTCCGAAAATTCGGCCCCAGCCTCCGCCCGCACTTATTGTGCTTTTCTTTTCGGCGATGGAGTTTTAACGGATTAAGTTCCGAGGTAAATTTTGGAAGGCAGATGGGTTTGTAGATAAGACACTACCCAGAGATTTCGACCTCATTTTGTGACTTTATGATCTGAGTTCTGGTTTCCTATAGGCGCAAGCCCCTATAGTTAATTACCCCTTCTGATCACGAGAGAGAACTTTCGATTAAGGCTAGTCGTCAATCAGATACATAGAGATACGTGTTATATGGCATATAGTAGCAGCATTGGGTATTGAGATTTAAGGTGTTTAGAGGTTTGAAAATTTTGGAATTTGAATGATTAATATTTGGAAATTTGAAGGTTTTGATATTTAAAATAGAAATTTCACCACCTTTCACTTAAAGCGGATGGTGGGGAATGGATGATGGACCCGATCAAGATCCCATGATTTCGTCGTCCCGGACCATCATGGTCACTGATCTATTTAGTCAGAGGAGGTAGTCGTCCCAACCTGTCAGAAGGATCCTTGTCGGCAGCCATGGGTTGCTTCGTCCAAGGGTACCTTGTAGACCTGGGTTGAGTGCTTGTCTAAGGGGACAAATTTAAATCCACCTTAGCTAACAGAGGGCTTTGTGCCCTATTGATCATATCATATTGATTCATATCTCAAGAATTTGATGCCACTAAGGAGCATATTGGCTCTGGCCATAATCGGTATTTCGTGGTGTCATTTGACGGCAAAACCACTCGGTTCAGAGGGCCCCAGGTCATAACCGTTTATCCTGCAGTGCCATTTGGCGGCAAAACCGCCGGTTAGAGGACACGTACCACGTCCTTACTGGTATGAGATTGTTTGAGAATAGATCCTAGTGATATTTTCGACTAGACATTTGGCTCTAAGCGAGCTAAAGTTATATTTGAATTTGTCCACCTCGGCAAGCTGTTGTGGAGAGCAGATGAATTTTGCTTTAAGTATTTAATGGTTTGATTTCAAATTTTAAATATATGGATTTTGATTTCAGGATTTTTAGGTTTTTTGATATTTTTGGAATTTTTGGGTTTTTAGATGTTTGGAATGGACTTTTGGGAGGCATTTAAAAGTATTTGTGAACCCCTCCGATTGAGATAAACATTTAACACGGCCATCATCGGGGTGTTTGGGGTTTCCATTTTTTTATTGAACCTTGTCAACTCGGCAAAGCTGTTGACCGAGGATCGGGTTTCTCGTAAGCTTTATGTCTTTGTTAATGAATTCTCTGAATTATGAGCTTTGAAGGCCTAATATGAATGTATTAAAATAAATATATCGGTCGCCACAATCATATATTTGTTTAATGATTCGAATCCTGTCAACTTCTATTGATCTGTATAGAAGGCTCGGGTTTGAACTTGAATTCACTTATTGACCCGCGCAGCATCCTTAGACGTCACGTGTATATTTATAACACGCTCGCTGGGGCCCATGCGGGTGTTTGGGGGCATTTTGTAATTATTTATTGAACCTTATCGACTCTTATTTACCCGCTTAGGAGGATTGGGTTCAAATTTATTAACCCGCGCAGCATTCCTAGGTGTCACATGAGTACCAATAACATGCTCGTCATGGCCCATGCGGGTGTTTGGGGACATTTTGTAATTATTTATTGAACCTTATCGACTCCTATTTACCCGCTTAGGAGGATCGGGTTCAAATTTATTGACCCGCGCAGCATCCCTATACGTCATATGTATACCAATAACATGCTCGTCGGGGCCCGTGCGGGTGTTATGATTGCTTTTACCCCTTTTAGTGTACCTATGTGTATACAAACTACTGTGCACATGCAGGAGTATTTATTTCGGACTTTGTTGACACCTTCTGTCTGCTTATACGAAGGTTGCAGATCCGGTGGCGTGGCGTAGCAGCTTTTGAATAGAGTTGTTCACTGCTTCGTACAAGTAGGTTGTCGTGCACTACTCATTGCTTTCTGCAGGTGAATCGTAGTGCACTACCTAATCTCCTGCTTTAGTTGTAGATGCTTGTAGATGGATCACTGTGTACATGATGGACCTTCTACAGTCACTTATGGGCACACTATAATTATTTTTAACATCTACAATCTTTCATCAGTATTTGCACATAGATGTAATAAGAGCTATCATGGTTTCTTGCATGAAGATTAAGCTCTTTCTCCCATGAGCTTATTTACTTAAAGATCACATTATACTTGCAACATGTACGATGAATTTAGGAATATTCGTGGTGATGCTTGCTTGCAAACCCACTTTTATTTGCAAGTGGACAATTGTATTTGCTCATATGATTGATATACACATCAACCCTCATCATCTTTATATGGTTCATAAGATGTTCTTTTGCATACATTTGAATGATCACAACTTTTGACATCTTCATTTAGATCTTGCATAATGACTTAAAGGTAGGTTATCACATCTCCTACAATTCATTTTTGTTGTTGCTTATGGATGAGTCAAATGATTCATAGTCCTCATATCATGACTTCATAATCAAGTCGTAACTCCCTCTGTCTTTTGTTGTTTGTGCACAAATTCTATTTGCAAATCTTTTGTCTTCAAAGGTAGGTTTGTTCAAACCAACTTGTAAACTTTTGTCCTCAAAGATAGTTCACAAGATACACGATGAGTTTAATACCAATCCATTCACTCACATTTATTATAGGTTGAATATGTTTGCTCAAATAAATTTTATGCCAAAGCTTGTAGTGAATTTGTGCACAAGTCCTTGCTTGGATGTGATTTGGATAGGTCTTCCACCTTTATCTTGAGCTTGTTTCTTATAATTCGCTCAAGTCGGATCCTTTATGACTCATTCAAGTCCACATTAAGTTCTTTGCATTTGTTCACTTGGGTTCAAGTTATGACATGTTCCTTTGCATTTGCTTGAATATGAGTCCAAGTGATCCAAGTTCAAGTTGTTCAAATCTTGTTCAAATCAAGTCCAAGATTTGCCATTTGAGTTAAAATTTGTTCATGCTCAAATCCAACATGAGTTCTAAGTTTATTTAGAGTCTTGCTCATTTTGAATCCAAGTTCCTTATTATTTGTTCATCTTAATTAAGTTCATCTTGAGTTCTCTATTTAGTTCATTCAAGTTCAAAGGTCCACAAATCTGAGTCCATTGTTGTTCATATGAGTCCCAATGCTTGTTCTTTTTAGTTCAAATCAGGTCCGAGTACAGTATGTTTTCACCCGAAATTTCGGCAGCCTCCCCGCGTCTCCCCCGTTTAGGGGAAAACTACGAAAAACTGGGCCTTTCCCACCAAGCGCAATAAAGGCGTGTATGGTGAAGTCCTCGGACGAGGACACTGCGACCGTGATCTTTCCTCCCACCACGCACAATAAAGGCGTGTATGGGGTCCTCGGTACCTATTTAAAAAATGCAATTTGTTTTCCCCCCGCTCGGGGGTACTTATGAGTAACTCTGCCTCGCCGTAGGTACCGCACATGGGTCTCATCCCACCACGCGCAATAAATACGTGTATAGGCGATTTTCAGGTGCGCCACGAACATTGAAGTAGGACTTTAGGTGATTACTCGCCTCGTCGTAGGAGCCGCACCGGGGTCCCATCCCACCACTCGCAATAAAGGCGTTTATAGACGTTTTTTCGGTGCGCCACAAACTCCGAGAAAGGGATTTCAAGTTTAAGGTGATTACCCGCCTCGTCGTAGGCGCCGCACTGGGGTCCTATCCCACCACACGCAATAAAGACGTGTATGGACGGATTTTCAGTCTGCCGCTAACTCCGAGAGCAAGAATCTGAGTTTTAGAAAACAGATACCTTCGCGGGGTCATTAGCACAAGGATCGAGGCAAGGTAAAGAGTGATATACAATTAATTTATAATTAAATTAAATTAATCAAAATTAGTTACATTTAATATATAACTAATTATTTTTAATTTAAAAGTAATTATAAATCAATTAGGCTTAAGTTATAATTAATCAAAAAACCAATTATAATTAATTATATTTAATACATAATGAATTATATTTAATTTAAAATTAATTGTAAGTTAAATAGGTTTAATTCATAATTAATTATAAACTAAATATAATTAATTATATTTAAAATCTATAATTAATCATATTTTATTTAAAACTACTTATAAATTAAAGTAGCTAAGTAATTATAATTAATCTTGATTAAATATAATTAATTACTATTAATAGTAATTAAGTATAATTAAATTAATTATAATTAGATTAATTAAGAATGATTTGAGCCGCATATTGACGGGATGGATTAGGATAGGAGCATTTGATCGTCCCGTAAATCTCACAACAAGTTAAAGCTTTACCTTCCTCTTCTTATAGCAAATCCCGAATTTATGGTTTGGTGGATTTACGGGATTTAGCCGAAGAAGCTCGCGATAGGGAGGGATTTACCTTCACAACCTACGGCTCCCGTTCTTGCTTTGGCTCCAAATGTCGTGACTCCCGATCCAACAGGACGTCGTCGAGGGAGCAAAGTCGATCAGCAATGAGGGAGGCGGAGAAGCTTCGGCTAAGGTAGGAAAATGCTCTCTCCTTTCTCTCTCTCTTTCTCTATGAGGATCGGGGGGCAGCGACGGGAGCTAGGGAAGGGACGTCGGGGAGGAAGAGCGAAGGAAGTGGAGTTCGGTTGTGGCTTGGAGTCGAGAGCAGCGAGCGAGTTCGGCTTGGAGGGAGGAAAGTAGCACACAACTCTCAAGCCTCGTTTCTCATTTTATAGACACAGAGAGGCGACGATCGAAGCACATCCACGCACGATCAGCTCTGAAATGGCGCCGAATACAGGTACGGGAACTGTAGCAGCAGCTTTCTTCCAAGATTTGAGCGGATATTCGGGAGAAATTTGAGGATCCGACGGGTATGTGAGATTTCTGCATTCCTCTCTTTTGTTCTTTGCATATAGGTTAACATGTGCCTAAAGCCATTTGTCTCAAGCGAACAGATTTTAGCCAAGCTCAAATCTTTGAAGTGAAGGGAAAAGGCTCTTTTGGAGAGACGCTTAGCAATCCAAGCGACAACTCATACTGAGGAGAAGTTTTCTTAGATAGCCATTGAGGTTGACAACTTAGAGCAGGCCTTATTTTTATTAATTGAAGAATTTGATCTAGCACATCATCTTTCAACATTGCTTAGAAGAGTTGGATGATGTTGCAGGATCAATTGATTAGGGTTAGACAGTAGATAGACAACATTCAATTCAGACTTTGATAACTTCTATGGCATCCTTTCTGTATTTTAGTAATTATTTTCCTTCCACTTTTTGTTTTGCTGATAATTGATATTTAAACTTTTAGTCTTTTAAATATGTTAAAGTGTTTCGACCCTTAGGTTTAGGAGGACAAAATTTAAAGATTCGGCCTCTAGACTTATTGAACATATATTTTGATATTTAGTCTCAATCATTTAAACTAATCAAAATATCTTGACCCTTAGGTTTTTAAGCATGAAAATTTTATAAAGGTTCGGTCCTTAAATTTGTTGAACATATAATTTGACATTTAGCCTCAATCCTTTAAATTGATCAAGGTAGCTTGACCCTTAGATTTATGAGCATGAAAATTTAATAAAAGTTCGATACTTAGACTTGTTAAAAATATATTTTGACATTTAGTATCAATATTTTAGATTGATCAAAACAGTTTTACCCTTAAGATTATGATTGTGCATGCATATATACCAACACCCTTTTCTCTTTATATATATATTGGCCATTAATTGGTGACATAGGCGTTCGACCTGTTAGGTCTATGAGATGATAAGCTCCTTCAAATAGTTTCTCACTAATAAAGGGTCCTTCCCAAATAATTTCAAATTATCACCGAGACAATAGTGAGGGATTGAAGGTCTTTGACGAACGAGAACAAATTATCCCTCCTTAAAGCTTATAGGACGAATCATTTGATCATGAGCCCTAGCCATTCTTTCCTTATAGGTTTCCAGGCTTTATTGGGCTTGAAGTCAAACTTCATTTAAGGCTTTGAGCTCCTTGAGTCTTAAGTGATCGTTTTCTCCTTTGGAGAACCCATATTATATAGCAATATGAAGTACTGGTAATTTAATTTCGATGCAATATTATTTTTGTTCCAAAAATTAGTGAGTATGGGGTAGCTTGTGTCAAAGTTTTATAAGTAGTACAATATGCCCAGAAAGCTTCCTATCAATTTATCATATCATTCTCTCTTATTTTTAGAGAGAATTTTCTTGAATAATTTTAATAAAATTTTATTAAAGGCTTCAGCCAAGCCATTGGCCTTTGGATTGAATATTGAATAATAGTGTCAATCTATTTTATGTCGCTTAATAAATCAGTAGATTTCAGCACTCTTAAAGGTCATGCCATTGTCTGATATGATTCGATGTGGCACCCCAAATCGATAGACAATATGATCCTTAAAGAATTTCATCACATCATCTACTTTAATTTATCTCAAGAGGTTGGGATCTTCTTCTATACACAGACTTACTTCTTTAAGCTCGTCTACAATAGCTTGACCACCCTTTCAAAACTCTTTCGGAGCTTCTTTTAGGTCAGCAATCAGATCTTCATTCTCATTTTCAAACTCAGGGGGACCTTTGTCTTTGTCTGAGATATTATAGCAAGTGGATCATCGTGTAAGGTGTGAAGATTAAACATATCCAAGACTCGAAGTTATAATTTTTTCATACCCAACAGGTGTTTGAGCATGTTCCCCATTCCAGAGGTTTATGAAATAGTGAGCTTGTTTACTTGTTTTCTCTAAAACGACATTTATAAGCTTTCTTAGATAGGGTGAAAAATATTGAGGAATAATTTGTAACATAACTTAGTCTTCCCAATTATCATTCTCCCATTCTAATCCAAGAGGGTTGTGATTTGACATCCGTTTGATTTGTAAAATGGATCATGCATTCATTGTGATCTCTCCTTAGGGGATAGAAAGTTTTTAAAATTTCTACACTTGTGCTTGATGATGCAGTCAAAGTTTTAACTTGCACCACCGGTATGGGTGTCATTTTTATAGTATTTGAGGATATTTGAAAGGTTGTAAAAACTGGATCGAACAACGAACCAGAAGAAGAAGAGATTTACGATTAGACCAATCGAACCAAAGGACATGATAAATAATATTATTAAAAATTAATAAAATGGTATTTTACAACCTCTAATACAATAAGAAAATAATTTGTATATGATAAAATTAGCATTTTACAACCTCTAATAAAGAATAAGAAATGTATTCACAATCTACAAATTTCTAACAAGCAACACATTCACAATCTACAATCTACCATAAGACAACCACATCTAACTACTAACAAGACTGGGAATGAACATCTAACCAAAGATTTAAATATTAGATATCTAAATGAACATCAACAAATACTATAGAAAAGTCAATGCAAACTGTCCACAAATGTTGCAAACGATATTAGTTACACTTTCAAGATCTACAAAAGAGAATCATAGGGGAAAAAAAACAAGACATAAAAATTAGGTTTACAAAAAATTTTACAAAGAGGATGTCGAGCGGAGAGGAAGGAATGGGAGAGGAACAGGGACAGTAGATGTGTTGGGAGGAACTTCGTCTGTCCAAGGCTTGTAGGCTCTCATCGAGCTCACAAACGAAGAGGAAATGTCGACCGAAGAGGAAGGAACAGGGGCAGCGACCTTCATGCGAACGAAGAAATAATGGCTTACGGGAACCCGAAGTAACCATATTGAAATATGATCATTTTTTTTAATCTAAACCACTTGATCAAAATCCAATGGCTCGGATTTTACTTTTCTTAAACCGTGCAGTTATGGAAAACTGGAGCCGGTTCTCTGATTCACCAATTTGACCACCAGTTCGAGCAGTTCTTTGGAGGTTGAATCGAATCAATACTCCCATCAAAGAGATTGAGATTTTCTTTAACTTCTTTGTTATGGAGTTGGCCCTCTGTATAAAGTTCTCCAAAATATAGGGGTAATATAAGGGATCCCAAGGTTCTTCGTCCTTGTTCATGAACTCTTGGAGGAATATTGTACTTTTATTCAGACATTGTACATCAAGAGCTAATCCTTTGAGTGTCTTAAGAATCATTAGATTGACCGAGGAGCCAAGATCAATAAAAATCCTATTTACTTGAATAATCTTACTTCTTTCAGTAACATAGTGGTCGATTGTGTTCTATTGTACCCAAGAGAAGATCATTACCATCAAAGGTGATTGCGGATATATTTTGAGTATATAGAGCATCCTTCATACTTTGCTCTGCAAAGAATGCCTCATATTGTTTCAGATTTTGTAAAGTTTTAATGAGTTTTTCACAAATATCTTTAGACATGATGACATCATCATAAATACTCAGCAATGTTGATAACTTGCAGAGATGAGCCAAGACATTATAATCAACAGTTACATCTGCAATCTTCTTGGGCTTAGGTGGGTCCTACGGCATAATAGCTTCATTAAGTTGAATAATCTTCTCTTGATCTTTTTACCTTCTTTTGTGACAGAGGAAGAACATGTTTTCCACTCCTTAGATGGATCTGTATCACTTCTTCAGATGAACTACCCTTAGCATAAGACTCCTTTAAATTTGCGACATTTTTAGAATCTTCAGAATCTGATCTCTTCTAAGCCTTGAGCGTTTAGCTTTAAGAGTTATTTTACTCTTATTGTTATTCTTATCATCAGGAAAATGAAACTCCTCTTCTAAATCAATAAATGGTGATGTCATACAACATGCTTCCTTAGAAAAAATTTTCACATCAGCCCTATTGATATTAAGAGATGCATTACGTCCTCTTGCAGCCCTTCCACCTCGGCAACTTACAACTCGGCAAGTTTCTATAGGAATGTTATCTTTTTCATCTGACTCTAAGTCAAGATGTAAGTTAGCCATATATTCCTCCAGCCTAACATGTCATCTAGGAGGTTACTCATACTCATCAATGGAGTTAATGTACTTTTGAATTATAATATTCTGCTTCCTTACTTCTTTGATCTTCAAGATTTTAATGCAAGATCCTTCTTTCCTCCATGATCTTTAAAGTATTTTAAAGATTCTTTTTATTTGAAATGGACTCTTGCACACTGAATTTTTTGAAGAGAAGAGTCTCGAATCAACTTCCAATTCTAAAGCACTCTCTGAAGAATACGTTTTTATGGTTAATAAGATATTCATCATTCATCTGGTTTTCTTTGAGAAGAAGGTTTCCCAACCACCTTTTCTTGTGGCTCTTTTCTACCACCATCGTTTGCCTCTTGACATGCGATAGAAGAGATGGCATTGGTCTTTTCCCTATTAGGATTAATAAAGACATTATCTGAAAGAGTGAGTTCACCATTTTGATAGCTTTTTTAACCCAATCTTTGAATACAAAACAATCTTCAATTAGATGACTAATGATTCTATGATATGGGCAATAATTTGGATCATTGATCATGCCGGCTTGCTGAGGTCGACGAGATTCTGGTAGTTGAAGATCGATTTTAAGTGCATGCTGAAAATTTTTTCTAATACATTCTTTCTTAAAAGAATACGGTTTGTTTATTTTCTCTGGAAGAGTGGGGGTCTATTGTCTTTCCTTTGCTTGTTTTGTCGTCTTAGGAGTGTTTGTTGATTCTCCTTTCTCCTTCTTATCAACATAAGAAGTGAACGCAATATTTACTCCATCCCTTTTTGAATCATTCATTCTAATTTGTTTTCCCTTTCCACCAGAGTTATTATCGTAGTTATAGTTGAAACTCCTAAGTTTGGGCAGTCTTTTAAATTTGTCTACATGGTCTAATAATTTCTGGAAGGTGTTGATCGTAGCCATTATCAGATAGGGAGCCATTTGGTCATTAATATTCCTCATTAAGAGCTCCACATCATATTTTTCAGTGAGCTGTTACTCACACTTCATGCTGAGATTTCGCCACCTCGTGATATACCGAGTGACAAACTCATCATTTCTTCTCTTCTCGAGAGAAGATTCTATAATAGTCACTTTTTTTGTTACACTAACAAATCTTTTAATTAACATTGTTTATAATTCCACAAATGTTTTAACTAAGTCATTTTGTAACTCAATATACCATCGTAACAAGGCATCATTTCCCTAGATATTACCATAGGTAGCCTTAAATTGAGCCAAATGTTGTCAAAGATTTTCAGTACCAACACATATATTCAATTTTGGTAAAATATATCATTTTGGATATTTCACTATATCATATTCTGCGGGACATGGGAAACCTTTGCCCACCAAGGATTCAACAGTTTCAGAAGCAATAACCACCTTAACCTTCTTGATTGATAAGATTTTTAATTTAGGCTTTACTGACTATTTCAT